ATGCCATAGAATTTATCTTCTAACTTTCTTATTGCGGCGTAGTAAGCGTCCATCTTCTTATTGGTGCAATTCCAATCCTTGTTGAGATGATTGATCATGAGTGTGGAGTCACCATACACCTAGAGGCGTTTAATGCTGAGCTCAATAGCTATATGGAGACCATGAAGTGCCGCCTCATATTCAGTGGTATTATTGGATGCTCGGAAGTGTAGGTGGAGGACATAGCGAAGCTTATCCCCCAATGGTGAGATGAAATATACGCCTGTCCCAGCACCGTCGAGGTTGAGAGACCATCGAAGTACATGGTTCAGTGCTCGGGGTGGTCGACCAGGACAGGTGTCTGCATATCCATCCACTCGGCGATGAAGCTGGCGAGCGCCTATGACATGATCGTGTGGCGAGGCGTGAAATCGATGGTATAGGTGCCAAGCTTGACCGCCCATTTAATGATGTGGCCGCTGGCTTCCTTGTTGTAGAGGATGCCACCGAGTGGGTACTCAGTGACTACTGCTATGTGGTAGGCATCAAAGTAGTGATGGAGCTTCTAGGATGTGATCAAGATGGCATACAACAGCTTCTGGACCTATGGGTAGCGAGTCTTAGACTCATTTAGGACCTCGCTGATGAAGTAAACTGGGCGCTGGACTTTGTATGCATTTTCGGCCTCTTCTCATTCAACAACGATGGCGGTTCTGACTACTCGGTTGGTCACTGCGATGTAGATTAGCAGGGTTTCATCCTTTTGGGTGGCGGCCATGATTGGAGGTGTGGTGAGCAACCGCTTGAGCTCGGCAAATGCCTTGTCAGCGTCCTCCGACCAAACAAAATTCTCTTGAGCCTTGAGTAGCTTGAAGAAGGGGAGTCCCTTTTCGCCTAGACGGGATATGAAACAACTTAAAGCTGCCATGCACCCCGTAAGCTTTTGGACGTCCTTAACGTAGGTCGGTGGCTTCGTGTTGGTCATCGTCGCTATCTTCTCTGGGTTGACTTCAATGCCACGGTGACTGACGATGTTGCCTAACAGGATACTGGATGGAACGCCAAAAATGCACTTAGTGGGATTCAGCTTCCATCGGTATACTTTTGGGGTTTTGAAAACTTCGATGAGGTCAGCAATGAAGGTCCTTGACTAGCATGTCATCGACGTAAGCCTCGACATTCTTCCTGATCTGGTCCTTGAGGTAGCGCTGGATGGCTCTTTGATTAGTTGCACCCGTGTTCTTGAGCCTGAATGTAGCACCCGGATTTAAGAACAAAACCAAATACACACCATATGTGAGCCTAGGAAGTTAAATCTCACATATAGCTATAAATAAGGGTAATATCATAAGACAATGCTTATTACATAGCGTATTAGTATAAAGAATACAACCTCAGAGTATAGACAGCGGAAAGACAACTCTGATCTTCAGGTGAAGACTCCACTTCCACAGGGACAACTGACTGGTTGATTACAAGCATAATTCCTCCAAACTCTAGCATCTGGTACCCATCTAGTATTTTTCCAAAGATTTAAAAAAGTAAAGCAAGCGTAAGTACATGTTGTACTCAACAAATATAACATGGGGTTCATGAGGCTCAAAAGGCTGACACTGGTTTAACTACGATTAGCTTTTAATGAGTCATCTTTTAGCAATTGAGTGGCAACAAGTTTATCACAAGCCCATAAACACATGATCAGGTAAACATGAATAATGAATTGCATAAACAATTATCCATTAGTGAGCATCTTCATCATCCATATCATTAGTGTTCATCATCTATTCCGTAAGGGTTCCAAGGTCGCTCGTGACCGTGAGCACGGCTGATATACCAGTTTTACACTTTGCAGAGGTTGTACACTTTCACCATGAGTCGTGTTACCCATATGCTCGGATTTATAACTCCCAAAACACTTCTAAGGTGAGCAGGTAGGGAACACTACGACGCTTTTCCCCAGTCGTTCTAATAAGGAGCAGCCGCTAAGGATTCCATCTCCCAAGTGTTATGGAGTCATCTCCAAAAGTGGCACTAATACACGTAGCATAGTACACACCCTGGGGATGAGGCCTATACCCAGCCTGGTATGCCCCTCTTGCCCTTTCGGTAAACTGCTATAAACTAGAAAGAGCAAGGTATTAAACTAAGACCAGAGCCATGTAGTCCTCATGGTTGTACTATAAGTCCCGGATGATCACTTACATATAAGTCTTTAGGGAGAGTAATCTAGAGCACCATAAAAACAGCCCAATGCTCTAGTCCTCTTGTTTCATGTTACTAAAAAGCATCTTTTAATGTTTATTGCATATACCATTAGTCAAGTTACAAGATCATGGTTGTAGTTGAGCAATAGCATCATACTACCCAATATAATACCCCATAGGTATCAAGACACAAGGTACAAAGTACTAGGATATCCTTAATGGTAGTCAAGGTAGACACATACAGTATGTATTAAATGATTAAAGATGTGTAAGACAATAAGAAAGATCCCATACTATACTTGCCTTAAACTCAAATCCTTCTTCTATTGAATTATAACCTTCAAAGGACTTCTTCCGGACCACCAGCTTCTTTTATACCACCAACGCAAAGCTCATCGACTAGACATGATCATAAATCACCACACAAACATCCATGCAATCATACATGAGGCAAACAATAGATCTAAATTATAACAGTACACCAAACATAAAAAATAGGTAAAGGAGTTTGAAACACGATTCTACGCATTGCTATGAACACAGTCGCGAGAGACACGCTAATCGGAGCTACGGTTTGAAAGAAACGGCTACCGAGAGATCTACTCATAAGAGAAAATATAAAGCTATAAGCTTCATGTGTTTTATCTATATAAAAGCATATATAAATTGAATTAAGTCAAATTTAGATTTGAATTACAAAACTAAAGTAAAACAAATCATATTTTATTTATAAAATCCAGTTGCATAATTATTATCCTAATTAGAGTTTAAACCATGAAATTCCAGAAACAGTGACATGATAAACATTGTTACTAACGTGTAGATCTTGTTGTTATGAATCTAACGCAACTTGAACAGGTCAAATCAGAGCTAAAACGTAGAAGATATAAACAAGATTTCCTTTAATAAAATAATAGATTAAATCTAACATTGAATTTTAAAAGTTGAAAACATATCTAACAGTAAGATGAGCATGTAGATTATGAAATTACGAACCTAACGCAAGTTGAACGGGTCAAATCGGGGCTAAAACGAAGAAGTTATGAACAAAAGAGTTTTAGTGGCAAAACTACGAATATTTTGAACTATTTTCATATTTAAAATAATTAAAAATCAATTTAAAAACAATCTCTGGACCGAGCGTCATTTTTGGAAAAGTGCAGGGGTCAAAACGCATGATCCAGGGCATTTACTGAAATACTTTTGAATACTACTAGACCGCGGGTTTATTTCGGGAAAACATAGGGGCCTTTGTGCTAAAGGTACGGCGACGGTCGGCGCTGACTGGGTCGTCGCCAGCGTGGAGCCATGTGGCGGATCGGCATAGGTGGGTTCACAGTGAACCGGCTGGCGTGGCATGGTAGGCGGGGTTCATGGGTCCACCGTGGACCGGTTACGAAGGGGTATGGATCGGATCTAATCTGGATCGTTTATCTACGGGTCATGGCTAACCAAACCGAGAGCACCGGAAGAACAAGGAGATGACGACGAGCTTGGCTAGGTGGTTTACCTCGGCGTGAAGCGAACAAAGGCGACGTGGCGCACGGCAAGGCGGACGACAATGGTGGCAGTGCTAGGTCTGCGGTGGCTCAACATCTTGACGAGGGCAGCTACAGCTTCGAAGCTTGGGATGGAGGTGGCGAGCATGGGGCTAGGTATTTATGAGGCGGGGGTGGCTTGGGGCACAAGGCACGGAGGGCGTGGCCGCAGCGGAGTCGGACGACAGCGGTGGAATCCGTCCCGAACACGCACGGGAGGGAGAAGGCGCAACTGACAAGTGGGGCCCGGCTATCAGCTGGAGGAAGGAGAGAAGAGGCGCGGCGCCTGCGGCTACGCTGGGCTGTTGGCTGCTGGGCCGCTAAATGGGCCGCTGCGGGAAATAGGAGGCCGCACGAGTAAGCGGGCCATGCGGGTAAGCCAGCCGAGCTGGGCTGCGGCGAAAGCGGGCCCACGGAGGGGAAAGAGCGGGCCGGCGGTGGGCTAGAAGGCCGAAAGAGAAGAGGGAGAGAGGAAGAAATCATTTTCCTTTTTCTTTTCTAATTTCCAAACCACATTTTGAAATGCAAATTCAAATCAATTTGAATTTTGATTTCAAACCACACCATTCAAAAATAATATGCAGCAGCATGAATGCACAATCATGTATGTAATCCTTACAGTTGATTTTATTTTGACAAAAGTTATTATCTATAAAAGCCTTTAAATGTGTGACCATTGACCTCACATTGACCTTTAAATGTGTGATGTGGCGCCTCCCCCACTCAGATCCCTGTAGACCAACAGGCGCAGAAATTTAACCGTCCGATGTGCAGCAGTGTCTCCTGATCCACTCCACCTGCCCCCTTTGCTTCTACCGCCTTATTATTATATTTGAACAGTACCTTCCGATTCCTTAGACTCAGTTCACTGCTCATCCACAGTGAACCACCATCAGCCATTCGATCCTGCCTCCTTGCGCTGGATGGCCGCCACGCGCCTCCTGCTTGCTCCCCAGCCCGCCATCGACGCCAGGCCAAAAAAAAAAAAAAAGAAAGAAAGAAAAAAAATCCCCATCCAACCTCCATTGCCTCGCCGACTCCGCCTCGCGTGCCTGCATAGCCGCCGCGACGGGAGCAGCCACCTCCACCGGCTGTGCCACGGCGGCGCAACGCGGCACCGCACCAGCGCCGACGCGACGTCGCTCCGCAGCGGCGCAGCCGCGAGTTCGCCCCGCACCAGCGAGCCTGGGGCGGCCCCAGCACACAGCAGCGCCGGATCTCGCCCACGCATCAGCTGACGAAGAGGCGGCAGGCCAGCGAGGCAGTGCCGGCCGAGAAGATGGTGGCGCTGGATGTCGCCCGTTCACCTGCTGAGGATGAGGCGGCGGGCCAAGGAGATGGTGCGGGCCGACGGCCAAGGAGGCGACGGTGAGGGAGTGCTTTTCGACTCTCCGAGCCTCTGGTGTGAGTGTTTTGAACGTGTTTGTGCCTTTCAGGTATTTGATGAAGTGGTGGAGCCGTGCTCTGTGCCTTCGTGCAGCGATCTCGCGGCGGCGGCGCACGACTAACACCATGGTGAGTTCATTTCTGTTCTGCTTACAATTGAAAAGCTCCGGTTGTGCCAGTCTGCATAGCTGCTTACATCGGTGTGATTACAGTGCCAAGTAATAGATTCTACTAACTGAAACTACAGATCATTGGCACTTGCTCAAAATACAGATCGAAAAAGTTATGTATTTACATCTGCTGCGTTCTATAGATTGAAAATGCAGATCTGCTTTGCCAAACTTCATTCAGTCAAAATATGTAGATTATTTTTGAATTACGAACTAAATAGCTGCATCACCACATTAGTTATTCCCAAGTTTGATGGATGAGTCTTCTATCTGTTTTGCAATGCTATTGATTCGACGGACACTTAGCGGGCGGCTACTGCTGTCAGCGGAGCGGCTCTTTCGGCACATCGCTTGCCACCGCGCCAGGCAGGTTCAGTGTGTTTGCTCTCCCTTCACACATTGGTTATTCAGATAGTATAGGTGCTAATGAAGTGATTTGCGTGTGTTCATTTTTCTCAGACAGATACTGCGACTTGCCGAGGCAATTGACGTGCAAAACCTGAAAATTATTTTATCTACTGACAGCCTATTTCGATTGATGTCCATGTGCACCTGCTGCGCAAACGAACAGTTTATTTTTATCGAGCCTCATGTGGACATGTGCGTGTTTTTCATGTCGTGTTTTGCAAGTTCCGCCATGCAATCCATCAGGTTCCACCGCTGATTTCAAGCTATTGCCGTGTTACATTGTTTGTGGCTTACACTCTTTTCCTTAGGAATGAATATACAGAAATGCAACAAAACACTGGGTGACACTGCTTAGTGCTGCTAGAAATTTAATATTGTTCATGTTTGTGTATTCAGTATCTCGATGTTTGCAACAATAGATGCACGTTATTTGTGTTGCTTGGTTATGATGCCATCATAAAATTCCTAGCTTCATAGAACAAAGGCGATGTTAGTGTTCCACTTCTCTAATACGTATATGTATGAGTTCGATTGGTGACGGCAAAACTGTTCCATGTATATGCATCGCCAGGAAATGGACTTCAGTCTGTCTCATCTGTTGATTTCATTTGGCCTGCCATTATAGTTGCTAATAACAGGCATGCTATAACTAACACCATATTAAATATTACAGTCCACATGATATGACAAAACAAATATTATGATATTCATACGAGTATATTCCTAACCTTTTCTCTTCATGTATGATGTATGCCTAAATGTTAGTCAATTTCAATACAGTGTTTCAGTAGCCTTGGCAGAGGCAGAGAATGTTAGGACGTTCTGTGAATAGTCAAAACATTTCCTTATGCATTTCCAGTAGGTTCCTTCTTTTTCTCTACTTATGTATGGTCACCATGATCAATTCGAGAATGTATATCCTTCAAACTTTTCCTAGGCTGATTGTTTTCAGCTGCATTTTCATGTCATCTACCTACAATTAGTTGTTTCCTGACACAACTCTTGCTGTTTCAGGTTTCACCTAACGATTGCATAGACTATATGCTCTTTTCAGATCACTCCTACTGCATAGTCCACGCCTGCAACGCGACTCCTTCCGTAGCAGGTAATACCTTTTCCATCCATGATTCCTTCTTGGTATCTTCCGCACCATTTAACAATACAAGACTCCGTTTGTTAGTTCCTTTTACCTTTTTCAAGGACACAGACCCAGTCACTAAACCTTTTGGTAAATACATATGTACTATTAGTATTTCCTTGCCATTGTCATTTGTCCTTGATAGTGCTAATAACGCTATTGTTGCTTAATGACAGTTTGGTGACGTCTAATCTGTACTAGATGCCTTCCTCACAGTAAGGCCTACATAGTTTTAAGTTTCCTGACCTGTTTACATAGTGATGTTTCTGTTTGCTCCATAATCCGTAGTATTACACCACTTTGTTGTCATCAGGTAATAGGCCCCCTGCCCACCCACCCACAAAAAACTTTCCTCGGTAAAATGATGGGTTTGTTAACCTCTTTTACTTTTACTATCAATCGAAGCCTCCTTTTCGATCTGTGCACAGGTACCACTTGCTTCAAGCGGAAAAAGAGTAGATTTCTGGACTTTTCACATATGCAAGATCAACATCTCCCCACCATCAGCAGGTGTCCATCGAGGCACCAAAACTTCTTACTTTCGTAGTACTATTCTCCCTATACAAAATAGGTCGTCATGTTCAATTTGTTTACACATGGTACGAGATAAAGGTTATATTTCAATCATTGTTGCCTGATATATATATATATATATATATATATATATATATATATATGCCAACTTTGACACTGCAGTACCTAAGTCTGTTGGACACAACGTTTACTGTTACCTGCTAGTTTTCTAGATTTGCATGCTCACAAAAATACCCAATTAAATCCAATTCTTCTATTTAAAACAATGCAATTTTTAGGGTGTTACATATGCTGTACAACTGCAATCATTTGTAAGTGATGATTATGTTTTATTGTTACTCTAGCCTTTGTATAAATAGAAACTCATGTGCACTATTAATAGAAGTAATAGTGGGAGGAGCCTAAGTCCCCCTTTGGAACGTCGGAAAAACATAGGAACATGAAAAATACAGGAATATGATTGTAATGCATGTCAAAAACAAAGGAATTTTGTTAGAAGGGGTGTTTGGTTTTGTACAGGAAAAACATAGGAAACCAATGCAATGAGCTTTCACTGGATGTTTTTCCTTTGTTTTTTCTATGAAAGTTGAAGGATAGGAAACTTTCCTATGGTTTTTCTTCCTCCATTTCTTCCTGTGAACCCAAGGCCTCTACGGTGATGATTCTATAGGATTACTGATTCCTATATTTTTTCTTTGGAAATCCTATGAACCAAAACGGCCTTAAATTTGGCATCATTATTTAATTTTGAAGTTGCAATACTTGTGCATTGTGCTTATGTAATCTATATCTGTAACCTATTGTTTACTTCTTGAATTTTGCAATATGTAATCCATATTAGTACCTATGCATTGTGCTTATGTAGAGGGTGTTTGGTTGAGGGCCACCGACTGCCATGCCACAAACTATGGCTCGCCACGGGAACCGAAGCAGCTCTTTGGTTGCTGACTTAAATGCAGCTGCCACAGCTTTACTCAGTAGAGAATGAGCCACAAGAGTGTTTTGGATGAAAACCGCACCACCGCCACATCTCACCACAGCGTGGCTATGTGTGGTCAAGATCCAAACAGCCCCGTAATCCATATTAATATGAAACTTGTGTTACTTGTTATGAACTAATCTCTTGGTTTTTTTAATTAAAGTCCTCTTTCACTATCTGTAACCTAATATTTACTATTTGAATTTCATAGGAAGCTATGGAAACTATGCGAGCAGAACCTGTTGCTGATGGGCACAAACCAATGACAAGTACTGATGTTGTTCCCACGGTCCTTTGCCTCTTCCATGGACAGGTCCACACTCAGGTCAGTGGCAACACCCTTTTTTTGAAAAATACTGGTATCCCGACAAGCTCCGCCAGAACAGAGACATCGGTGGAGAGAATGCTTCGAGAACAGCTTGTTGCTGAACAGGAAAGTTCCGCTAACCTCGTCAGACAAGTGGATGAACTGAAGAGGAAGACAAACAAGACTATTTGAGGAGTTCAAGATACAGCAACAGGAGGAGTACAATAAGCTACGTGCGGATATCATGCGCTTCAGCTCTTCTTCTAGTAACTCTCAGTCGTCAACTCTGTTAGCTTGATTCAGTGAGCATTTGTGGTTTGATGTGTGTACTCGTGTGCTGGTTTGATGTGGTAAAACTATCAGCGGGTTGCTGCTGATGTGTAAATAGTAATTTGTTGTATTTGATTGTCATGCTGAATAATTATGTAGACATCGTCGAATAATTATGTAGTCAATCAGTGCAACAGTGACGATCTTGAATTACTTTTATGATGAATTGATTGTTTGGCACATGGTAGAACCTGGGCCGGCCACGTGATCAAATAAAAATGCAACATGGACGAACTAGTGCATGACATGTGAAATAGCCATGGCATGGCACGTGGGTTAATAAAAATTCGACACGTGGAAGGAAGCCGTTAAGCTAGTGGTCGAATCAAAAAATGAAACATGGATGGACAGCACCGTGACACGTGGTCGAATAGGAAACAACCACGTGGACCAATAAAAATAAGACACATGGTCCAATGAAGAAATGACACGTGACCTAACTGCAACATGACACGTGTGCCAATAGAAAATAGACATGGACCAACATAGGCCCAACACGTGGTCCATTAAGAACCTGAAACGTGCAAGAATCAGAGATGGCCACGTTGTCCAATAACAAGGTGACACATACCCGAGCCATCTCCAATGCAATCGGCTATAACATGTACACATAGAAAGCATCTCCAACGGAAGCAACCGCCAGCGTGGCTACCCCCTGCCACGCATGCCAAAGCAGTTCTATGACGATAAGTTTTCGTCATAGATCTATCCAATTCTATGATGATTTTCTAGAATCGTCATAGAATTGTAAGAATGACGCGGCTTCTATGACGAACCGTTTTTCGTCATAAAACTGAAATTATGATGAATTTTGCTCCTTCATTGACAAAAAATTGATCGTCATAGAAGTGGATATTCCTAATAGTGCAAACTACCACAGAAACCAAGCAATAGATATGAATGTAAATGCAAGTGTGGAGCTTTATACCAAACTAGGCAAGTGAGCAACATAAGATTTTTCCCCAAGGTTTGATTGCTTGCCATCAACCTATGTCCTCATTGTAGTGAGTACCCACATGCTCATTCACGTGCTAACTAGTGTGATGAGCTAGACCCACAACTTGGGTGCCACAAGAATCAAGCACAAGGTCCACCCTAACTATCCACGAGCACCACTAGAGTTGCTCTTTGTGATCTCCTGCGGGGACGAATACAAGAGCTCCTTATAAAGCTTGATCAGAGGCAGCAACAATCACCAATAGCCCCTCAATGACCGCACAAGCTCCAAGCCAATTAGGTGACGATAATCACCAAGAGTAATAAGATCTCCAACAACTACCATGCCTATCTAGTACCACGAGATGCAAATTGACGATGCAAAAAATGCACTAGAGTCTCTCTAATCTCATCTTAATGTGAATCAAAGTGATGCAAGTGAGTGAAGTGTGTTGCTCAGCTCTCAAAGGGTGTACACAAGTGCTAGGGGTGCCAAGAAAGTGGCCAAGTCTAGCCACACCATCTATTTATAGCCCCACTTGAAGTTCCAACCGTTAGCCACTTGAGCCAGCCACTGTGCATGCATCGGACATGTCCAGTGAGCACCGAACCTCCCCAATGGTCAAATTCCAATGGCTAGCAAACTAGTCGTTGCCCTTTATCACACTTCTAGTGGTGTTGTCCAGTGCCCATTGGACATCTTCGAAGTGTAACGCTAGAAGTGTCCCAAAAACATGCTCTCTGGTAGAATGGTGTGGTGCATTGTCCAGTGCCCCACACAAGACTGTTCCAATGAACCTGAAATCCTCGCGCTCAGCTACCCTTTGCACCAGGACTCGTCCGGTGATGCATATCCGGTGCACACCGGAATGCATAGTGCCCGATTAAAAAACTCAACTGATTTTGTAGCATGTTAGTGAGCTTCGGTGCACCCACCCGGTGGTGCACCAGACAGCTCCCATAAGTGTCAAAACTCAAAAACCAACAGCCCTTCTCACCCTCTCACAAGCGTGCCAACTCTCAAATGTTTTGCCAAACATCTAAGCACTAGAGTTAGCATTTTTTAAAGTGTTTTACAAAACATTTTCGCTTGCTACTCACCATATCACTAGGTCTAATGCTAATGCATAAAAATCAAGACCTAGTAGCACTAGATAACCATGTTTTCTATTTGAGCTCCTCTCTTAATAGTATAGCTATGTATCCTAAATGTGACCACGCTCTCTATTGCGTATCGGTAGGCAAAACAAAATCCCTAGCACTATCATATACCTTTGCCTTGATCACCATAGGGTTTTGTTTCTCTTTCTTCTTTTTCCATGTGTGAGCTTGCTCTAATTGGATTGATCACCCTTCAACCATCTTCAAGCCTTGCTCACCGTCTTAGTGTGGACATAACCTACCTTAATCACTCACTTAGCAAAAGGTTAGTCCATTAGTTGTCTCAATTACCAAAACCAAACATAGGGCCTTCACCCTATTGAGTGCTCTAGTTTACCTAAGGGAACTTAGCTAGCAAAAATTAGAGTAGATACATGCTATCTAGGCTATCACTTACCTAAGTCTACGGCTTGCCCCATGGATTGTTTGTGATAGTTAGTAGGTGGTGATAGCCCTATCTAATCTCTATTCACCCACATTTGGGCAAGTTATTAAAAATCATAGGACCACCCTTCTAGGAGCCCTGGCACCCTTCTAGTCCCTTTTCATTGCCATTTCTCATCTAGCCATACCGAAGTGAACAATCTTTTGTTATCTTCTCTTGTTATCATCACCATAGAAATCCTCTCTACCCAACCTATCATATACCCTTATGTCAATCTAGGACGAAACTCATTCTTTGCTAGATCATTTCACGTTCCCCATGGAAATCGTTACCTTGGAATACTCCCAAGTGAAAGCTACATTGACAGCTATGCACTTGCGATTTTATCTATTTGCCACCGTTTGTGTCAACAGCGCCTTGACCACCACCACTCGATGCGCCGCCTCTGAAGCTCTGACATTGACATTCTGCCCTCGACCTTTGCTGCCCGACCTACCACAACCGAAGCTCTGCCACTGATGCACTACCCAAAAGCTTTGTCCCTAAACAACG